CACATATCTCTGAATGTAGCAGATGTCAATGACAACCCACCGACCTTCCCTCATGCTTCCTACTCCGCCTCCCTCCCAGAAAACAACCCCAGGGGCATTTCCATCTTCTCTGTGACCGCCCACGACCCTGACAGCAGCAGTAATGCTCGAGTCACATATTCCCTGGGTGAAGTCACATTTCAGGGAGCGCCTATATCTTCTTATATCTCTATTAATTCTGACACTGGCACCCTGTATGCACTGCAATCCTTCGACTACGAGCAGTTGAGAGCCCTGCAGCTACTGGTGACAGCCAGCGACAGTGGGGACCCACCACTCAGTAGCAATGTGTCACTGAGCCTGTTTGTGCTGGATCAGAACGACAACACCCCCGAGATCCTGTACCCCACCCTTCCTACTGATGGTTCCACCGGCGTGGAGCTGGCACCCCGCTCAGCAGAGCCCAGCTACCTGGTGACCAAGGTAGTGGCAGTGGACAGAGACTCAGGCCAGAATGGCTGGCTGTCCTACCGCCTGCTCAAGGCCAGCGAGCCTGGGCTCTTCGTGGTGGGGCTGCACACAGGTGAGGTGCGCACAGCGCGGGCTCTGGTAGACAGAGATGCGCTGAAGCAGAGCCTCGTGGTGGCCGTCCAGGATCACGGCCAACCTCCTCTCTCAGCCACTGTCACGCTCACCGTGGCTGTGGCCGACAACATTCCAGACATCCTGGCTGACCTGGGCAGCATCAAGACCTCCTCCAACCCCAATGATTCGAGCCTCACGCTATACCTGGTGGTGGCAGTGGCCGCTGTCTCCTGCATCTTCCTGGCCTTTGTTATCATGCTGCTCGCGCTCAGGCTGTGGCGCTGGCATAAATCACGCCTGCTTCAGGCTACCAGCAGTGCGTTGACAGGTCTTCCCGCCTCGCATTTTGTGGGCATGGACAGGGTTCAGGCTTTTCTGCAGACCTATTCTCATGAGGTCTCCCTCACCTCGGACTCTCAGAAAAGTCATCTGATCTTCCCCCAGCCCAACTATGCGGACATGCTCATTAGTGAAGAGAGTTGTGAGAAAAGTGACCCTTTTCTGATGTCTGACAAGATAAATGCAAACAAAGGAGAATCGGGAGTCGTTCAGGTTAGTTTTCTCTTTCAGTTAAGGATGATTGAAGCACTTTCTTCATTTGTTTCCTCATTCATTTTTCTGCCTCATTCAAAATTAGCTAATTATATAAATAATGAATCATTATTTGCTCTATTGGATATTAATTTGCTTTAAATTGATAATTGATGCTTTCTCCATTTGTTTTCAAATTATATTTTGGGTTTAATATTTTCTTTTTTCAATTTGTGGACATTTTAGAGAATATAGCTAATATCAGTAGACTTAAGTGAACCAATACCTTTAAAAAATTGTTAAAGATAATTATCTTACCCGAAGATTTGGTTATGTTGAAAGTGCTATTCTCTTAATAGAAGAGTTGTTTCATCAGTTCAAATTGTTAGATGTATTGTTTTCTTTTGAATATTTATCTAGACACCTGGTTAGTGAACATGTTTTGGAAAAGATATAGTGCAGGATTGATATTTTAGTATGCCTAAAGTTTGCATAAGAAAATAATTTACAGTATTTGCTAAATCAGTGGAATAGCACAGAAGACTTGTGCACAATAAATGTCAGAAAAGTAGATGAAATTTATAGTGATGATAATGTCTGTAGCATTCTGAAATCTGGAGTTTGAGCTAAACCATGTAATTATTGGATTTGTGTAATCATTGAGGGAAGAAATCAGTGAGAAGAAACTTTACAATTTTGCTTTGTTCTGTGATGTAGTTTAAAGTCTCCAAAGAGTTATACACTCCTCCATTCAATAGACATACATATGCCATACACTTGGCACCTTCTGGTTACAGGTATCACCTTCACTTATCAGAATCAATATCTACTGAAGTGTTCACATTTCTGCAAGTCTAGGTACAATTCTGCTTTATTGGAAGAATCAATGCAACTTAAGAATGGTTTGACATTTTAAAATTCCTTTCTGAAAGATGTACTCATCTTAAACTAATAGATTTCTCTTAATGGAATGCTGTTCTATGAGTTTCAAATTCCAGGAGCATGTGTTGTGTAATGAAAGGACTACTTGATTTATTTTCTGAATCTGCTTTGCTGAAGACGATTTTCATATGCTTCTTATTAAACGATTTTTCAGTCTTTCAAATTTTGTGCCTTCAACACCTTAAACATCAGCTGCAAATTATGAATAAAAGGGGGAAGTTGTAATAGAGCATTACTAATGGGATAATAGGCTATATTACTCAACCACATGACAGGTTTATTGACACATTTGCGAATCTAGGACCACTTGATTTTTATTTTTTAAACATTTATTTAAAGGGCATCCAGTTATATGTATATATGGCAATTCTATAAATGTGCAAATTCACTGAATAGTGAATGCATACAAAAAGTAACGAGAGAATCTGTATGATAGATGCTAACATCATTTATTGTTACATGAAAACTCACTTTTCCATCTTTTTTCAATAAAAAGGTTATAGATTTGGGTATGTATTCTGAGTTGCTGCACACATGCCAAGTTTTAGGATAACAATGTTTTATATTGGTTAAAGATAATTTATAAAGGTTTTCTAGTTTGGAAATGGAGTTAAAGATGTTAAGATTCCTGTCAGAAACATGGAAATTAAGGGCTGGCCATTAGCTCAAGCTCACTTGGGAGAGTGTGGTGCTAGTAACACCAAGGTCAAGAGTTTGGACCCCGTTAACAGTCAGCCACCAAAAAAAAAAAAAAAGAAAGAAAGAAAGAAAGAAAGAGACAGA